TTTTTTTTTTTTTTTTTTTTTGGGGGGGGGGTTTGTTTGTTTGTTTGTTATTTTTATTTTTTTATTGTGATTTGGGTGAAGATTTACAGAACAAATTAATGTATAGTAGGTTTTGAGATCTGAGAGTGTGAGACCTCCAACTTTGTTCTTTTCCAATAGTGCTTTGGTTATCTATGTCTCTTTCCTTTCCACATAAAATTAGTGATTGGTTTTTCCATATCCTTAAAGAATGTTGATGGGATGTGGATTGGGATTGCATTAAATGTATAGATTGCTTTGGGTAGTATTGGCATTGTCACAATGTTCAATCTTCCTATCCATGAGTATGGTATGTTCTTCCATTTATGTAGATCTCTTATGGTTTCTTGAAGTTGTGTTTTGTAGTTTCTTTATACGGGGCTTTTGGGTCTCTGGTAAGACTTATTCCCAGGTATTTTATTTTTTGTTAACTATTGTAAATTTTACTGATTTCCTTATTTCCTCTTCAGCAATCTCTTTGCTGGTTTAGAGGAATCCAATTGATTTTTGGATGTTGATCTTGGATCCTACCACTATGCTAAACCCCTCAATTAGTTCTAGTAGTTTTCTTGCTGAGTCTCTTGGGTTTTCTAAGTATCGGATCATATCATTTGCAAATAGGGATAATTTTCCTTCTTCCTTACCTGGATGCCTTTGATTTCCCTGTCTTGCCTTATTGCCCTGGCTAGGACTTCCAATACATTGTTGAATAGAAGTGGCGATAGAGGGCATCCTTGTCTGCTCCCATTTGCAAGGGAATGGTTTCAATCTCTCTCCATTGACAGTAATGTTGACTATTGGTTTTGTATGTTTTTCCCTTCTATTCATATTTTTCTGAGAGCTTTTCTCAGGCATGGGTGTTGGATTTTATCAGATACTTTTTCTACATCAATTGATATGATCATGTGGATTTTTTCTTTTGCTTTACTTATGTGATGAATTACATTGATTGTTTTTCTAATGTTGAACCATCCTTGCATACTTGGTATGACCCCACCCGATCATGGTGTATTATATTTTTTATATGTTCTTGGATTACTGGCTAGGATTTTGTTGAAGATTTTTGCATCTATATTCATGAAGGATATTGGTCTTTAGTTTTCCTTTTTAGTGATGTCTTTGCCTGGTTTTGGTATCAAGGTTATGCTTGCTTCATAAAATGAATTTGGGAGGATTCCATCCTT